TCTTCTAGGTTTATTTCCCTTATTAAATAGTTTATTTCCCTTATTAAATAGTTTATTTCCCTTATTAAATAGTTTATTTCCCTTATTAAATAGTTTATTTCCCTTATTAAATAGTTTATTTCCCTTATTAAATAGTTTATTTCCCTTATTAAATAGTTTATTTCCCTTATTAAATAGTTTATTTCCCTTATTAAATAGTTTATTTCCCTTATTAAATAGTTTATTTCCCTTATTAAATAGTTTATTTCCTTCAAGTTGTAAGTGTTAAATATTATAATCACATCTTCTAGTTCTAGTTTTATGCATGCTAAAAGGTTGCTTACTTCATCTGGTTTTCAACCCATGAAACAATGGAAGAAGTTTATTATAATGTTTAAAAATAATGATGTAGTAATTTTCTCATTCAAAATATTGCTGTCAAAAAATCACCTTCTTCAGAATACTGATTAGGGCCTGGGTTGTTAATATTATACAGCTAGAGAACTTTTGGACGTGTGACCATAAGAGTGGATCTTGGATGCATGGTAAACCGCACTGTCCTCTTTCCTTTTCAACAGGAAGCCACTGCTTGTGAATTACTACATGCAATTATTCTTTCATTCATGTTTTGTACTTTAAAATATTGCAGGTGTTACTCTTAGAGTGTCGGTGATTGATCTTGAGAAGGAAGTGATATGTAACCCAATCACCATCAGGGCTTATTTGAATATGACAGTTCAGGACCTTAGGAGTATCATTGCCACAGTAAGTTTGTGTACTTTGCTATGTCAGTTGAAAAGTATCCAACTTTCATATTTCAGATTAAAATAACATTTGTGGCAAAGACAAGCAAAACTAGTCACTCCTTTCCAAAACAAGTTATTAATACAGGGTTAAACAGTAAAATGACAGTTATAAAATGCTAGAAGTAGAAGAATCATAAAAATGTGACATTTTCATTAAGAAGTTACAGGAGGTTAAACATATAGAAAAGCAGTATTTGAGAAGTCAGCCTTCAAGGTTTACCATTTTGGCCATTATCAAATCATTTGAAATGTTGTTTTAACATCACAAATGTGGAAAATAACAACATAGCATGATGTATAGATATAAAGTTTAGTGTAATAAAATATATTTTAAAAATGTTCACATTCCAGCATGTTTTTGGCATTATCTCAAATGCAGGATTTGTGATGAGTGACTGGTTTGGCTTGTCTACCACATTTTAAACTATGGTAGTATAAAATATTACTGCAATAAGTCAGTGATTGATATAATTGCCTTTTAATCCCAAGGTCCTGGGTTCAAATCCTGATTTTATAAATCGCTCCAATAACTGAACTTCAGTATAAGACCTAGTTTAAAACCTATGACAGAATAATAACAATTTATACTAAACAGGAGGCCTATAAGAAATAAATACAAAATTACATAAAGCCTAAATATATAAATTGTTATCATTTTTATTATTTTACCAGAAAACAGGTCTTCCTCAGGAAGGTATGCGAATGGTATTGGAGAAGTACTACAATGATCTGAGATTGCTAGCTGTTCCTAGTAAAACTTTACAATTAGAAGGCTTTGCCAAGAGTAATAAGGTATGCAGCGTTCTTATGATTTAATGGTTGATACTTAAGTGCACAACTTAAATCAAGGCGGTAGTTGCGAATTGACATTTCTCAACAGTCGGACGACCTGTTGACATTTGAACTGAGTAGAATCGATGTTTATTAACCTGATTTATATTCAACTTTTCCCATATACATCATTAACCATAAATAAATATTCAAGCAAGTAACTTAATATAAGTATAACATGATGTACACTGTTCTACAAATTTGCATACAGAAAATATAAAATGTATAAAGAATATAATAAAGAAGTGAAATCTCAGTGAAATCTATATCTTTTGTTAAAAACATAGCAAGAAATACATATTTCTGCAAAAAGTTGGTTATAGAAGCAAATTAAAAATGCATAAGGAGTAATGAGTAAAATATATGAAGAAATATCATACACTGTACATGCATTGTATTAAAATTACATTTCAATATTTTAAATTTTCCAATTTGGATATTATAAATTATTATATTTTCAAAAATATTATAGGTTTGGCACTTAGACCTGATGATTAGTGCACCAAATATTATTCAGAAATTGATATTAAGCCACTCCAAGTTTTCTATCTTCCTTCTTCCTTTTAATTTTATGTTTTATTTATTCATTGAAATTTTAAAGTCACCAAAAGATAGGCTCTTTTTGCAAAGACTTAGCTATGTATGGATGTCTTATTGTGGAACAGGAAATCCAGTCCATCTAGTACCTCCTGATTATGAAAAAAAAAATACTGATAATTTTGATTGAATTAATATTATCACAATTATAATAATTATATTATAAATAAATTCCTTAGTATATAAATCAAATGTGCTACCTCAGCCCCAAACTGACAGTGGGCTGAGGTATGCAATTTTATGGATGGCACTACTAGATGGCCAGAAATGGTAATATTATAAGAGTTGAATTTTTTTGGGGGGGTTTTTTTTTTTCCGGATAATCTATATAGGACAGTTCAGTGGTTGTAGACAATTACATGTCAATCTTATGACATATTCAAAATATCATTGAGTTAAATTTCCCTTTAATACTGCATTGATTAATGTTTAATATTTTTATCAGCAAAATCTCTGAGCAAACGTTAGACCAGGGTCAACAAATTTGACACTTCACTGTATAGCTGACAGTGGGCTGAGGTATGCAATTTTATGGATGGCACTACTAGATGGCCAGAAATGGTACTACTATAAGAGTTAAATTTTATTTTTTTGGGTTTTTTCCCGGATAATCTATATAGGACAGTTCAGTGGTTGTAGACAATTACATGTCAGTCTTATGACATATTCAAAATATCATTGAGTTATATTTCCCTTTAATAATGCATTTATTAATGTTTAATATTTTTATCAGCAAAATCTCTGAGCGAACTTTAGACCAGGGTCAACCAATTTGACACTTCACTGTATAGCTGAATTCTGATTGGTTGATTTAAGTACTTTGGGACATTAGCAATGTAAAGTCTGTTTGCTTGCTAGGAATCTAGGCCAATGTATTTTAATATTGATATTTCATAACAGATGCTTCAGCTAGAGGAAGATAGGAATCAATATTTATGTGTAATAAAATGGTGTTTTACTCACATAAGTAGATAATAAAATAATATTGATTTTTTTTCTCCCAGTTGTATTTCAATTTCATATTAAATGCTATTTGTAGTTGATTCTTTTCTTCTCTCTCTGAAATATACTTTTGGTATTCATTAATATTTTGTATTTAATAAAAGAAAATGGTCACTGTGGTAATGGAATATTATAACATTGTTTTCTTTTTTCATTTCGAGAGTAGAAAATAATATACTTATCATAAATACAATAGATCACCATGTGCTCAAAATTTGGTGTTGTATCAAAATACAAACTTCCCCTTGTTTTATTTTATTGTTTTATTGTTAATTGTTTAAGAATAGCCATATTAGTATTTGGAAAATCTACCAATGAACAATGCACTTAGATATTTAAAACTTTTAATCATGGGGTGAAGCTAAATTTAATAGCATAAAAAAAATGGGAATTGTCCTAATTTAAATGATCATACCATTTATTATGAGAATTAGGCTGTGAATGATTTTATTTTTTGATTTTTTTTTTATATTACTACTTTTCTTGTTGGCAGGTTTATGTAGAATGCTGTGATACAGAAGACTCGAAGCTTTCATTTCCAGAATCAAAGTTACATCAAATACTTGATCGTCATGCCAACACAATACGACTGTTTGTCACGCTTCCAGCTCTGCAACCAAAATGTTAGTTTCCCAAAAAATGTTTTAAAATTAAATGTGTTGTATAGTTTAATTATAATCTTGACCGTATTCTTTTTTACCAATTTGTGTATAGTAGGTGTTGTGTAAAACAATTAATGAATGTTTATCATTCATACAATGTGATAAATTAATTAATTTGCACCTCATTGAATAAAACATTCTATTTTTTTATTTGTAACTTGTTGAATGGAACATATTTTACGTCATGAAATATTCTATCCCATTGCACTCAAAACATTCATTTGTTGTATATTATCAATTAATATTTTTATATTCAAATTATCATTTTCAATTTTATAATTGTTTATTTTTTCATTTACAGTGAAAAGAATATCAAACAATTTGGATAATCAATTAAATGCAATAGTCGAATCATTAGGAAATCTTAAAATTAATAATAAGGATGGTAAAACTGACATGATTCCAAATCATGACCGAAACACTATAGAGTCTAAAAAATCACCAGCAACTACAGACAGACAAACTGAAACTGCTACGATAAGTGAAAATGAGACTGCTTCAGACAAAGAGGCCACCGTAGTTGGTGCCTCAAAAAACAATGGTACTACTGAATTATCTAATACATTAACTGAAAGTGGTAGTACTGGTAATAGTGAGACATTAAAATGCGACAGTGAAAACACAAATACAATTCCCACCAACCATGATTCTAGTGGAATTAATACCAATGCATCGCCGTTAGCCGCTGCTTCAGATACATGTCTTATGAACACCAGTCATGTAAACCAGGAAACACAAACGGAGAAGGATGACAGCTTGTCAGAAAAAGAATTTAAAGAGGAATCTGATAATGTAAGGAACTGTGCAAACATGGATACAGAAGAGGAATGTATAGGATCTCAAGAAAATCAAAAGAAATGGTATTTTAACCCTGGACACTGTTCAGACCCAGTAACAGAAAGTCGAGGTAAGTTTAAATTCTGTAATTCATTCTTTCATCAGTGCATGAAGAGAGTTTTGTGATCCTTGTAGATAAATCCAAATTTAACATTTTTTCCATAACTTAATTCAAATGCGATTAACTTTAACCTTCCGCATGTCAATGGTACCCTTGAAAGTGGTTTTTGCATGATGAGTGTTTATTCACAAGAATGATTCATATTTTAATAAACCTTTTTTTCCTCACATGTTTGCATTTTGTTTTCATTGTGTGTGGCTGTAAAATGTAAAACATCCAGAGATTTTTTACAACCGAAATTACTAACTTTATGCAGTTAATACTCTGGGGAAGGTGGCTTGCACGGAGGCCTCCATTCAGGGTCTTAACCTCATGGCTAGATGTTCGAACCATGCGCTGACCATTCCTGGCTAGCCATGCCTAGATACCCCAGTTTCAACTGCTGATGGGCTATTGAGTGCCTAGGTGCAAGTACATGTATTTCTTCACCAATTGTGCTAACATCAGGCCTCTTACTAACTAGATATTAAAAAAAAAAAAAAAAGATTTACATTAATTGTGCTAGGAAAAAGGGCCAAAAAAGTCCAAATGCATGCTTCTTTTAGGGGAAAAAGATTTAATTTTCATCAAAGTGTGAGATGAAATTATCACAGTGTGCAACACTATTGTAATGTTAGATTTTTTTTCACCCTACCTTGGTGTAGTGGTACTATTGCTCTAGTGTATAGTGATTATGGTTGGCATGTCACAATGTTTCGCTCAATTCATATAACTCTGTATAACTGAATGAATCTAGATTATTAAAAAACACCTCATTTTCGTACTTAATAAGAATTGATATGCATTGTAAATAATGAAACAATTTCACAAAAAGTTAACTACCTTTGATTTCATTCAAAATTACTACAAATTGTTTTTCATTTTTCAGTCATAGATGTCCAGGTAGATAAGAGGATAACTTTGAAAGCATTCAAACTTTGTCTGGAGCAATTTGTTGGTGTTTCATCTCAAGAATTTAAGGTTCCTTTTTCTTTCATATCTCAGTTTTATTTAAACAGATTTTAATGCACATCGATACATTACAGGCAAACAAACATTTAACACATATAAGCTTTATTTCAAAAGTAAACTTCTACAGGTGAAGGTTTGAACAGAAGCCTATAGTTATATTAAATAAGTTAAATTACTGTCTTCCAAATTCTATGACTATACTGTGGGATAAAAATATGTTTACTGATTGATTTTATTGATGTTTATACTATTACTAAGTAGCACCTGTGATAGAGTAGCTGTGATACCATCCTTAGGGTTGTGGTCCCAGGAATTGTTAAAAGCCAATGTTTTTCTTACTAAAAATAACTTTACAAAAGGCTACTATGTTAGGGCATCATTGTAAATTTTGCCTTTGCCATAATGTACTTTAAAAGTGGAGCTTACAAGAATGTGTGCTTAACCATGCCAAGTCATGTCTGGATCAAAAGTTTAGAGCCTGGTGCCTGTCATAGCCATCAATTCCTCCACTCTGTTAATAATTTTTGAGAATTTAGGACAGCTAAACGGAACCTACGTGGTTAAAGGAATTGTCATTTTTGGCTACATTTTATGCATTATGTAAGCAAATTCATGTTACCATGACCTTCATTTATTGTTTTCTATGATTTGATGTTATATCATGTATAATACGTAGCGCCTTGCTCAATACATTTCTTTGTGCGTTCGGTACAGCCCCATGATGCTACAAGTACTATGAAAGGGGGTACTAGGTTTTAATAAAATAACATAAAGTTGTTATACCTTGAAAACAGTTTCGGCCTATCCGGCCCCTCTCAGTTTAAGTAATAGGATTGATGTGACGAGTCGTTGTGTAGTTAGTTATAGTAATAGTAATTCCACAGGTGTGTGAATACTGCCACCAATAGTATAACTCTTGACTTGTTGAAATTTATCAGTGAATAAGGAAACAAACATATACCAATATAAAATACCACTTAATTAATGGTATCTTTTCTTTTCATAGATTTATAGAGTATATGCTAATAATCAAGAGTTTGAAATAGTGAGGTTAACAGACACTCTCCAATCCCATAGTGACGAAGGCAAGGTATCAGTTAAACTTGGAAGAGCTTTAAAAAAAGGAGAATGCAGAGTCAAAGTCTTCCTTCTCTCTCCTAACAGTGCAGAAGTAAGTATTGATATTTTTTCTTCTCTTGTATGATTAAAGTACAAGTTTGAAGCCCAAACTAAACTGATGATTACTTTTTTCATCATGATCATCTGTCATAATCACCATTACCATTATCATCTATCTCCATCATCATATTATAATCATCGTCATTCTCACCATCATTATCATCATCACCACCATCATCATTATCATTACTACGATCAGCATCAACAATCAACACTAACATCTTCATCACTACCAGATTGAATTGATTCAAGCATTGATTTCTTTCAACTTTGCAACTATAGGTAGCATCATGTTTGATATCATCATGCTTCTCATCTGTATCTATGACAAATTTACCTTTACAGAACCTTGGTGGATGTCCTTGAAATTCTGAGGATGTAGAGTCTGAATGGATATTTTTATTAATATCTATCCATATCATGTTAAAATTTAGTATGATTATTATATTGTTAATTTTAATAAACCTTGAGACAAACTGCCGACTCAACAAGGTGATACATGTGCAGCTACTCTACATTACGCATGACATACACGTTTATAATCCCTCATGAATACTCTTTGTCTGATTTTTAAATTTATTTTAATCTATTTCATATATATTTAACTGAAAATTGCCCATTGTTCCAAATGTAATTAATATGCATATTACTGTATAATGTTTTAAGTTATGCAATGGATGCATTTAAATGTAAGAGTTGTTGAACCAGTGGTCCAAGTGCATGAGCTACAGTTATAATAATAATTATAATAGTGATATTAAAAATCATTAATATTCATATCATATATTAATTGATATTCAACATTTATTCATCAACTATGAAATGATATTCATATGTTTTGAAATATTTTAAAAACTAAATTTGATTTCATTATCTTTATATATTATGAATTTTCATAATAATATCTAAATTCGATTATATTTATATTAATATTAATTTCATATTTATTCATAATGTTCATATTCCTACTCATACAATTCATATTCTTATTCATGTCATAATGATTATTAATAAGTGAAGTCATATTTATATTCATTTTGTATTCATTAATATTCATAAAATACAATTGATATCATGTCATAAATATGCAGTGTCATGAACAATTGCCCTGAAGTGATTATTAAACAATGATTTGTTTGACTATCTAAAGGAAGAAATAAATTTCATGTTAAGTGTTTAAAGAGTATATTGATTAACAATGTACCTTGAACACTTATACAGCTGCTGTGAAAGTATCTATCAACCACTTAATACAATTTCCTTTCACAGCCTTGCAAGTTCTTATTTGATTGGGTCCTGGCAAAAGGGCAAACTGTGAGGTCATCCAAATTGGAACTACTGGATGAACTCAAGCAGTCCTGTAATATAGACATTCCACTGAATAGGTAACTTTTAATTATTTTATACATAGTCAGTGCTCGAACAGAAGGGAAGGAGGCGTTACAACAGGGGCGGATTTAGTGGGGTGGGTCCCTGTTTTGGGAAAGTAAAAAAAAAATATTTGATCTCCCAAAATGCCTCGGAGGTTATTTCCAGGTATCTAGAAAACAAAAATCTCCTGGGCCTCCTAGGGTTGTGTTGTCTCTCGACCACCCACCCCTCCCACATCCCTTTTGGATACCTGGATCCACCTCTGTTATTAAGTGTATTTTCCAAAATGCTATTAGAAAAATTTTAAAACAGGCTTATCTTTATATATAATATTTATTTATATATTTCTGTGACCCTTTTCCCCTCCTATTTTGTCTTTTATGAAAGTTTGCTTATACCTTTAACACCCTCACTAATGTATGTTTTGTACTCTAACGAAAACAATATGATTTCCTTTCTCTTTTCTGGCTTCATTCCCTTGCCTTATATTAAATGAGCATTTTATTGTTTTTTAATTAGTTTTCCAGATTTTGCCAGATGGTATATTATTAAAACTTTATTATATTGTTATGTTATATTCTTTTATTATAATACATTGTTAATTAATTTTATACTAATTGCACTTAATTTAGGATATTTTTTAAAATAATTATGTATTGTGGTAAACATTTTGTTTATGTTAGTTTTTGTATAGATTATTACTATACCTCATAAATAGTGAGGGATGCAGTAGTTTCTACTACTTCCCTGTACATCCCAAATTTATGTGTACACAGAAAAAAATACTACCCTAAATCGACTATTGCACCCCTCCTACCTGAACCATATGCAAATTGCTTAATTTTACCCTGACAGATCTGAATGGCTAATGTAGGTGAACAGTTTGCTGTTTAATATGTATGAGGTATAGTGAAAAGAAAATACAACATGGTTTGATTTTGGTAAAGCACTAAATTTTACTTCCCTCGCTGTTTAATGATTGGGACTGCCTCCCTCTGCTTCATGTCAGGAGGTAGGCACAATCATTAAACACCCCGGGAAGTAGAATTCACTGCTTCACCTTCAACTATGTTGTATTTGTATATATTAGCATATGTATTATGATTATTTTACTAATAATATTAAATCTTATAAATTTCTTTTAAACAGAATTGAATTGTATTACCATTTTATGATATATTTCAAAATATAGATAAATGTCATTGTTAATGTGCCATTTAAAAGCATTCCTAGTGAATCATAAATCTGTTAATTATTCCATACATCTGAGGGAGTTCTAAGATCAATCAAACCTATTAAATTTGAACAATGTTTATAACATTCATCGTGGGACTCGTTTGCACGCAGTATCACAGCAAAAATATCACTCAAAATTATCCATAAATTCCACCTGTCAATACACGTTTCATTGTACGAAAGGGGAGCACATGAAATATGTGATGAATGGAATTAATAGTGGTATTAATATTGTCATATAGACTTGACAGACCTGTGTGTACTTCAATCACATTACTGTTATATTACTGTTTTCCAAAATTGCTCCCCTTGTCTATCGGATATGAATAACAACTCCAGAACATGACTTGGTCGAAACTCGAATCTTGGATCATGATTATTAGCTGATGATGTAGATTAAGTTTTGACTGAAGTGAAAGAATGCAAGATTAAGGCATACTTGGGATTAGTGAAACCTCCCATTCTGTCTCTCTCTCTGGGTCTTGTTTCATTCTACACTCATGTCAATATCCTTCCTAAGTAACATTATTATGATATAGTGTTGACACTTTCTTTCAATCATCTGGCAATATTTTTTTTTTTTTAACGTTAGATTTTTTTGTATATATTCTTATTTTGTTTATTTTTTTAAATTTTTCATGTCTACATTACATTGTCATTAGTGTTTAGCTGATAAAACTGGTATCAAATATTTTATTCCCAAATCCCTTAATGTTATTATTAATTATAATATGCATTGACTTCCTTCAAAAAGTTTTGAGCGAGCCAAATGGCCGAGCGGTTAAGGCAGGGGCACCGTGATCATAGCCAACAATATTGGCACCGGTTCGCAGCCGGCTCGCTCCTATAGTTTTGGTGGTGGAACAAGTCTTCTCGAATAATGACTATAAACCGTAGGCCCAGTGTTCACAAATGCTCATGTGCATTTTAAAGAACCCGTACATCTTTCGAGATGAGTAGGGGGTTACCCCGGTGTACTGGTTCACTCGGTCCCTGTCATGGACAGATGAAAGTGCGCCAGTTTACTGGCTGCGGTGGACATGAAGTGACTTTCAAGTGTATGCTGGAAGACTCACCCTCTACAAATATAGTATAACAAGAAAACGAATGAGAAATCAGGAGCACATGATACTTTTATTATTCCCTTTCCCATAGGTTGCGATTACGGAAGAAAAGCTGGAAGAACCCTGCTGCAGTCTATGTCGACAATCAAGTCTACGATGAAGACATCCCGATTTTTAGCAACTGGGAATTGTTCATTGAAATTTTGCAAAGTAACTATTGCCCTTTCTATTTTTATAATTTTTAAAATGTTTTATTGTCTTTGTTTTTGCCTTGTCTGTTTAAAACACCCAGCCTCAAGTTTTTTCTCAAATGTAAAGGCACATATTTCCAATTACATCCCCTGTTTTAATTCAAATCTGACAATGGTTTTTTTGGTCTAGCGATACATACTCGCCTCAAGGCTAGCCAAATTTATTATATGTCATAAGTTCTTATATTGATAACTAAATTTGCTGGAAATGATCACTTTGTTTTTCCCTGAAACTATGTTTCATTATGAATATTCTACCACGCACTAAACTTACTAAAAGGACATTGAGATGTGTTTAACTGAAGTGTCTCCAATACTTATCATTTCTCAAAACATTATGACATATGCTTTTCACTGCAATTCTTGTATTTAATTTTTTATTGTATTTTTAAAGTTTTTATCTTATTAACTTTTGATTAATTTCAGTGATGAATTTGTGCATATAATTTAATTTGTGTTTTCATTGGCATCAGAGAGCCACTCGACAATGATTCAGTTCACTATTTGGCAATCCTGTCCGGCCAATTGGGTGTTGTTTTTTCCTCTGTTATTTTTTGTTTGTCAGTTTTAATGTACTTTGGATGAAATAAATGAAATGAAAAACATACATTAACAATATAAGAGATTTTATCTGCTATTACTCCTCGTACTTGTTAATGTTTTTCCGAAACTTCACTATCATTCATTCATTCATTCAAAACTTTATTTAATCTCGAAAATGCGAAATTTACAGCATGATATAATTATACAAAATATATACAGAATAAAATTCACAAAGGACTTGTTCGATCATGTAACAGTTAAAATTACAAAGAGATCGTTTTGCAACAAGTTCGAGAAGGTAAAACAAGTGTAAAGAAGGACATTTCTTTTTAAAAAAAAAGCCAGAGAATTATTTAAAATAAGTAAAAAAAGTGGTAAAAACAGTTATAAGAAATGGTAAAATTTTAAAATTAAAAAATTTTTTTAAAAGCTTAAAAAGAAAAATCACAAAAGTATTTCAAAGATTCTTAAAATTGAGAAAAACAAAAACAGTGTCGATAGAGAGTAGGTAAAATGTCTTAAAAGGAAATCATATAGTTTACAGTACCGTGATACAGGTAGTAATGATTGCAGAGAACTAAGTGTTAATAAAGAGTTCCTGATATTTTTTTTGAATGAGTGATAAACGTATTGGTATTTATTTCATTTTTATTAAATCATTCCACAGGACAGGGCCTTTATAATTCATTCAAACCAGCTAGCTTACTGTAGATCACAATATAAAATTGCATTGATTGCTATATGACTTAGATAAACATGGTTGTATTGTTGGGGCCTGTACCAACTTGGAGAAGCCCCCAATGATGGCCTCGTAAGTGTAAATTGGTATATGCTTAAATACATTCCTTAAAAAAATGTGAATTGTTTGTTGATTTTGTCAGTGCCGCTTACTTAATTATGTTTTATTGAATTATCGTAAATAGTATTCTCAAAGATAAATTCAGGAAGCTTTGTCATAATTGTATTACTTTATACTGCTTACATCAATGTCCCACTGCTCATTGTCAACAAAACCATAATATACATATCAAAGTCATCAATAAACTTTTTTCATTGTTATCCAATAATTGAATAATTTATCAATAAACTGGATTGAAATATACTTTATTGAAATATTAATCTAATTATGTGATTCATGGACAAGAGTTTTGCATTGTGTAGAATTCTGGTATCCACAGGGATTGAACCATGGAATTTGTGGTTATATGCTTGGCAACATAAGCCCAACCACATTTCCATTTCATTGTCAATATACAGTTTCGAAAATTACGCATTTGAGTGCATAATGAACTCTCGTTACATCTTTAAGCGTCTTGGAGCCGATGTCGTAATACAGACCAACTTAATTATTTAGCTTTATCTCAATTATTCTACCAAATCCTCTAAGTACATTCATATATTTGTTCTTAGAACCAGAAGAAGTTGAGTCATCCGGACAACTTGTTTTATTTGTGAGGAGATGGCTTCCTTCGCAATTCAGGCTGGAGCCATTTCAGGAAGTCATTTTGGATGATTGTACAGTTGTTGAGCTGAGGAAGCGGGTATGTCTTCTTTCATCACCTCCTTTTTCATTTCGCTTAATTAATTTGCCTTCATTATCCTCATCTTATTTCCTCTTTCTCCACCTAACCTAAGTGTTTTGTCCCATGGTCAAAAGCATCAACTTGATTTAAACTGAGAATGTAGACCACATCTATCATGACTCCTACACTGGTACTTCTGCTAGACCTTATTGGTGCCTTGCAATTAGGCCATAGGGTGTAAATTGTTGGCTTACAATTGAGTTGCTTAATCTTGTACATGTAGTAAAAACAAACTAAGTACTCTCATATTATAAAGCAATAAAAATATATGGCCACCTAAAATCCAAGAAAAACTTTAAAAATTCTAACATAAAACTTTAAATTGCTCATTTACATTAACTTAACTTGTTAATACTATAATTAAAAAAGCTAACTCCAGATTCAAATTCATGTACAGGCAGGCTTGCTGCTTGGACAGACAAAGTCGTAAACTTTATGCTCAGCCCTAATCCAATGTGTTTTCGACTATGCTGCGTTTGCCTGGTATGTTGGCATAAGTGCATTTCTAAAAAATAAACTACAAGCAACTCAAAATAAGATCGTAAGGTTTATTTTGGACCTTGCCCGGGAGCACACATCGGGCAGAAAGAACTTTCCTTACTTGGATTTCTTAATATAAGCGATAGGGTTAAATTTCTTAGGCTGGTCCGTGCTTTTAAAATTTTCTATGATGTGGATACACCTCATTTAGCAGATAATTTTATAAAGATTTCTGAACAACATCATTATAAAACTAGAAATTCTTAAGAACATTTTGTAATTTCAAATATCAAAGGCCAAACGTTTTATTACAATACTATGAAAGACTGGAATGATCTACCATTTAATATCAAGTGTATTAATAAACTAAATGAGTTTAAACGTGCTATAAAGATTCACCTTGAATATGTGCATCAGCCATGATTGTTTTTGTTCACTTCTATTTTTTAACATAATTTGCTTGTTTATAGGACCCCATTGGAATTAAGCTGTTCTTCATCTTTATGGGTTATCCTGGTTCTTTGTGAATTTTGAGTACCAAATAAAGCAAACAAACTTATCAGCTATAGTAGAACCCTTGCTTTGGGACGCCCCTAATAAGGGGACCCCCTATTATTGTATTTCGGCCACAGAATGAAGGAAAGTATGTCTATAACCAACCCCACTTTTTGGCCAGAAAGTGTCCCCTTAAAATATGGGTTCTACTGTATTAATAAGTCACACATCTAAAATATATGCAATAACTACAAGATTTGTATATTTCAATCGTTGAAGAAACTCTTCTAATTTTTAGTTATAATTTTTTTAAATCAGCAATTCATATATATATTGGATTTTCTGTTTAAAATTCTGTTTTATAATAGACTTAAGAAATAATAAGGATAAGATGACATATTGTTGATATTGCTCTTGTTGCCATGTTATTGACAGGTTAGTGATGTCAGTGGTTTACCAGCTGATTGCATAGACTTTGCAAAAGGACGTGGTGCTTTCCCATCGGAGATTTCACTCCTGGAGATGCAGACAGACCTGGAGTGGAATCCACAAGTAACAACTCTTAATTCCTGGCCACTTTACATTACAGATGATGGTGCTGTTATCTACTACAGGTAAAAAAAAACATCTTATAAAACCACGAATGATATTTTTTCAATTTAAACAGGATTTTAATATTTGTTTTAACATTTCTGTAACGATGTTTAAATTACTATCATAAAAATTATTTAATAAAATAACAGTGATGAATAGCTGTCTGTAGCTTGGTGGTTAAGATGCTTGCCTTCCAATCCCAGAGTTCTAGGCTCAAATCGTGTCAAGTGACAAGAATTTTTGTTCACAGCCATAAACAGCTCCTTTCCCTGATCCTTGTAGTAACACTATGCTAAAGTTAATGGGACTTTGCTGTCACAAGTATTTATCCATCACAGCCTCACTTGGATTGGGTTGAAGTCAGTTTTAATCCTCTAATGTGCAGGCTGCCTGTAGAGAACTCAGGATTTTGGTGGAATATAAATGGTATATGAGAAAGATCTGATTTGTTTTTTTTTATACCCATAAGTTTAGCCTGATAGTTTTGTCTTATATTAAAAAAGTTTTTCAAAGGAAATATGCAAAATTTCAACAATTTATGTTAAAAAGTTTTAAAATCAAACCTAGCTTTAACTCGTCATTTCATGTTAATATAGAAAGATATTACTGAATTATTATTCTGAAAAATTAAGCTCACGAGATGTATGATGATGAAATTGCACTTTTATTAGTTGTTGATGAGGTCAGACTGTTTACAGTTCATTGACCTTTGTGTGGTCAATGAATCACCTTTACTACCTAGAATTTTCTTTTTATTGATCCCTTGGGGTCATTTACACTGATTTGATCATACAGTATGTATCACATCTAAACAACATTATGTAAATTATTAAATAGCTATATACTTTTTATTATATATCATTACTTAATATAATAATATAGGTTGAGGTCATTTTTATTTTAATTCAAATACTGTAGTCAGATTGCATGATTTATAAAATGGTATAAATTTAAAACTTACATATTTGTGAGGGTGATTTGTGATGTGTGACACTATCATATTTTTAGTTCGTCAGTTTCAACAGACTGTGTTTGATCAGACTTGGATAGTGTATGCTTGTTTTAATCTCTGTCCACACTATAAAACTTTCTTGGACAAAAACAATCTGTTGTATTGCCCATATAAAGTCATGATGTGATGTCATCATGACCATATTTGGGCACAATTTGATAATGCTCTATTTCATCATTGTATAGTCTGACAGATGAAAATCTGATAGTTGATATTGTTTTATTCATTCATTCATTTATTCATTCAATCCTTCATTCATTTAGTATCTATACGAATTCATTGATCTGTTATTATATAGGTCCCTACAGTAACCTTAAATGGTTTCATAACAAAGAATAATATTTAAAGATATTATTGTTAATCTTTATTAATATTGATAATTTTCTTTATTAAAATAGCCTTAAAATGTCTCACTGCTGTTTATGAAAAAATCTTAAATTGCCTTAGTTTATTTAAAACCACCCAATACACAATTCACACAAGACAAAGTTTTATACAGGACGTGATAAGGAACATTTAGCGAACATTTAGCACACATCCCTTGCTACATCATATTGTGTCATTCCCCATCTGTGTAGGATTAGCAAGCGTCCCGTGTAATATATCTATGTAAAAATAACAGACATTGCGGAGGCCTGTAACAATCCCAAGGAACTTTGCATACAATATATATAAGCGTACCCTCACAAGGGGAGCATCGCCTTTATGTCTTCAGTGTCTGCCTGGAAACCATGTGGCATTGCGATTAATCCAATCGCGAGGTTGTGGGTTTGAGACCAACACTGGCCACAATGCTTGTGGGTACCAGGTACAAGGTGAATTATTTGGTATGAAATCGGTAGTGCTGAATTTTGGCAATCTATTCTTTGCACAAACTGCACTTGGTATGATCACAGATGTTGTGGAATTAGAAATTAAGATCTGTTTGAATGCCAAGGATGTCAAATAGAGGCCTATGCCCTTTAGGCCTCGCTAGACTGTAAACAATTACCACCATCAACTGAGGAAAATCAAGACTTTATCAAATTTTAACAATTTTTAGCTTGTGTGAAAATGCATGATCTTGCTATGTAATATCTCGGGAAGTCTCGTTTACATTTACAACATTTAGCAAGCAACCGATTTTGTGTCATGTGAATAGACTATTAGCTATTTAAGCATCCTTAATCTTCTTAGTTCAACGTCTTACTCTACTGTTGTTCACTTTAAAATCCTTAAATTAGCTTAAAATAGATATTTGTTTAAATCTGTTTCCATTTAATGCTGCAGTATCTTTCGAGTCAAATAAGTAAAAATTTCATTATTGTAGAATTTAGTTGATGATTTGATTTCGAGGTTAATTACTCTTCCCAAGGAGAAATGCTCCTTCAGGGAGACGCAATCATGCGTCAACCCTTTATTTTTCCTCTCTTCTCGTCTTTTAATTTTACTGACAATTCTTGTTACTTTTATAATTGATGAATTTTTATTTTTATGCAGCAGATTACTTGACACAACTTTTACACAGAAATTAGACCTTACTACTTTGCAGTAAAAAGCAATGCATCCCCATGGTCTTTACTCCACTTTAAAAAAAAATTGAATAATAAATTTAATGAAAGATTTATAGAAAAATGTTTGCATGTGAAAAGATTTCCTTTAATGATTCCATAAAATGATTTATGATTTAAGAGTTTGAAATATTGTAAATTTTGAATTTTCTTTTAAGAATGGGAGAAATGATTTGTGTGTCGTATCTATGATTTATTATTGTATGTGGTATAATTATATTCTTTTTCTCAGTAATTCTGAAACACTAAAAATATTTTTAAAATATGAAAAAATAATCACAAGAAAATATTATTATCTTCAGACAACAATTAACAAGCTTATACCTAAACTAAACTAATTACCATCATTATTAGAGAATAATTAAAAATCAAACAAAAAAATAAATGCAATTTATCTATACTATCACGAGTGGACTGCAATTGTTACAAACTTGTTGATAAAATTGTACATTAAATGTACAAAGATATTTATCAGAATACTATTGAATTTGGTTACTGTCATGTCCGTGATTGTGTGTGCGCGTTATGCTGCGTTAAGCTGAGCCCTTACTACGCCCGACGGTTGCCAGCCGAAGCGATTCTATGGAATGCGCAATGAATGCCTTGGCGCGTTAGCAATGGATCGTTTTTTAATTGCGATCCTTTCACACTGCCATCGACAATCAGCATACGGCATCGCGTCGTCTAGCGCTCACAGGAAGCAAGGTACAACCATCGTACACTGTGAGCAACCGGCTTTAGTGAGTGGTATGGAAATCCTTGGCCCATGTGGATATACTGTATGTATAAATCTCAGGACAGATTGCAGTGGAAGAAACTAATTATTTGCACGATGACGATATAGAACGGATTCATTCATTCCTGACTGTTTTGCGTTTTCTTCACAACTTAGATTTGGGCCAAACTGCATCCTAGAATTCAGACGTCAACTAGAACTCAGCGTTCTCACATGCCATATAATTCAATTGACGTCATTGTGCAGTCAAAAAGCACCCAAATATCTACATTTAGAACATATAATAAACCTTGCCTGGTGTTTCAGGGATCACGCCCCTACGTGAATATTCCCCCTCCACCCTCTCTACCTTCAGCCTAAATCTGTAGGGAATTCTGCATACCAGTGCTATATCTCTAATAAATTAGGCCCCCAAGCGCAAAATTCAATATGAATGTTATATACGGAGGAGAGTAACTTTGCTGTGAGCCGAAATCTGTAGGACACCAGTGTGGAAAATAGAATCTTTGGAAAGACAATTAACATCTCGACGAGATTTGATTGACAGATAAACTGACTAATCAGCGAGCATCATTTACTCATGTGATCAAAAACTTTTGCTCGGACATTTTAATTTCCTTAGACAGCTGGTTTAAACGCGAAACATACGTGAGCCTAGGCCTAGATGTCTATGCTTGGTTATAGATACCCAGATTTACATGAGCAATGCGCATCAGTGACTTGGCCTTTGCGACAACAAGGTTGACTGAATGCGGCTTTTCCCTCTTCCCTTGGGGAGCAAAATACAGAGGCTTTTACAACAATTTCCCCGCCATGTTCCATGAAATAGATTAACACTATAAATATATGATCCATTTGCATACTGCCTACCCTGAATTCTCTTTCTTAAAGAAGGTTGATAGCAAAGAAAATCTTTGCCAACTCAGTAAGTCTTGCCGCCATTGTCTAAGGTTTTCATGACTTGTGGGTGGGGCTTCGCGTCCTTGTCGACATGTCAGTTGATAAACTGTGAATGATTATGGTGATAAAATTAAATCAAATATATTCAGATAAAAATAGCTAGCTAAGTTTTTTCTTGTCATTATTAGGGACAGTAGAGAAGAACTAACTGATCTAACAGAAGAACAGAAGAAGGAAATTCAGAAAAAGGAAAATGCTCGGTAAATATCATTAAACATTAAATTAAATGGAGTTTCCTTTAACAAACAATTGCGGAGAAAAACATCACTTTCTGACAGATGTGATCTGTAGTATCCCAATTATAGTTATGATCTTTATTGTTGAGTTTGTTGCTGTTATTGTTGTTGCCTTGATTCCTTTGACTTTTCCCATAACATACAGGCAGGCTTGAAAGCTTAAATATATTTGAACATTTTTGGATCATGTTCCAGTTATGTTCTTTAATCATTTATTAGAATTTGATAATTATTAATGATTGAATGAATTAATGTTGAGGGAATTGTAATATCATTCTCCCTTAACCCATTACATTTAAGTTTTCTGTGAAACCACCAGGGAGCATATATGTATTCAAATATTTTGATTATACTTCTAGAGATAATGTGAAAATGAACAAGTATATATCAAATATGCAGTATATTTTTAAAAGTTAATAGAAAGGAAGTTATTTTTCTTAAGCACCTAATTTTGAAAGGCCTGGGAAAAACCGTTCACATCCAATAGAGCAATCATGACTTCAGATGGCAGACTCTAAAGTTGTGATAATATAATTTTTCTCTTTTTTGACTTTCTACTGTATTAATCACTGAGGAGAGGTGGAAGTTTACCAAGAGTTTGTTTTGGGTTTTTTTTCTGAATATGTTGTAGATTGGTAGAGCGAGTCGCCACATCAGTGGCATATCTACTGTAGGTCATACGAAGGGGCAGACACCCCCAAAAAATCTTGCATCATCCTTTCCCTTCCCTGAAAATTTTCAAAGCAAAAAAAAATTTACGTCCAAACAGTTGAAAATGGTGTCATACCACTTTTCTTCTTTTTTTTTTTGCCAGCTAATGCCCACTCACTTTATTATCAAGTCCTTCCACTTCACCTATCAGCCTCCCCCTTATTTCAGTACCCCGAGCTACACGACTGCCCCACATAATTTGTAGCTGCTACACTGACCTGCCACACTGACCTTTAAAATTTTACTGTACCTGCCACTATAATTTGCACTCAAGGGAGCAACTTTAAAAGATTAAATATTAAATGTGACCTAGAGTAACATTAAATACACTTTAGCCTGGTAGTTGCCTCATGTGATGTCTTCATCAGGAGTACTGACAATAATAAGCCTAGTGCGTGAGCCTCGGTTTCCTGTACACATCAAGAATGTTTTTGTCTGAACAATTTTCCACGGCAATGTTTGTCACGCCAATTTCCACTAACTTCATGGGAAAAAACGATGAGTGAAATACTATAAATCTTCTAGGATATCAAGTAATGCATTGCAAATATTTCATTGCAATTTAAACAATATTCATAATTGTATTTTAACATTTCCAAATTTGTTTTCTTTTGCAGGCTTACTAAAACAGGACAGAAAATTGTGTACTCTCCCCGCAAAGAAAGAGCTTTAAAAATCTACACTGATATTCCCTCATCACCATGAGTATAGACCGAAGAATTGAAAGCAAATTTTTTTTTAAACTTGACCCCTGATGAATTGGACGTAGCAGTCACTATATCCTTGCTAGAATTTGTTGTTTTCAGTAGGGGAAATGATGCTGACATGGCCCTATTTACCCCTTCACTGATCCCCTGTAATATTACATCAAGACAATTAAAAGAAAATGATTTCCAGGGGTCAGAAGATGTCATTGAGCAGTCTAGTTTGATAAGAACTGTTTTGCACACAATGGTGGGGTGACATTTTCGCAATAGTCAAGAAGCTATACAATGTGTATACAGTATTTTAAGTATTTTTCTCTGCACTCTACTAAACACTGACTGGTGGTGTTGTAGAATAAATTCTGTAACTTGTATCATTTGATTGTAAGCATAAGATCTGTTTACTCATTCATACTTTTAGGTATTACAGTAATTATTTGTGGTGCTTCTTTAAATGTTTATATCAATTTTTTCCAATCATGGAAGCGCAACCTATTTAGTTACATGATAATATGATTAATGCAATTATTATTTTTTTATTATATTCTACAAATGAATGCCGATAAAAATAATCATGATTAGTAATTAAGAACAATGACTATTATATACATTTTTAGACCTATATATATATCATCTTAACAACAACCAACAAAATTTCCAAAACTCTTGACATTATAGTGACATTGGAACACATTAAATAATTATTTATATGCGTTATTTGGCCTTAATTCAGCTTGCTTCACCCTCCCTTATGATTTCTTCCTCTTTCTTATGATTGGCTTCCTTCCCCTATAATATAGTTGCTTCCATTTATGTTTGATTGATTTCTCTTTTATGTTTGCTTCTCCTCTATTTGCTTCTCTTTCTTTATAGTTTCCTCCCTCCCCTATAGTAGCTTCTCCTTCCTTAATATTGCACCCCCTCCCTTATGTTTTTCTCTCCTTTTAAAATTGCTTCTTCTTCTGCCCTTTCCTGTTGTGGTTGCTTCTCACTCTCTTATTGATGCTTTTACTTATTGTTACTATTCTCTTATGATTTCCTTCCCCTGATATATGCGGTTGATTATTCCCCTCCCTATTATATCCAACTTTTTGTCCAGTGGTTATTGCTATTTCAGTCATGAAGAGTTATTATGTCTATAACAAACATTAATACAATCATGTTTGAAAACAATTACATGGACAGTTTTACAGATGCCAATTAAAGTTAAAAAAAGAAAGAAATAGCTCTCTGGATATCAAGTGGGGTATTTTTTGGAATCATAAGGACCATGTTGTAAGGGAGACTGAGGGAAAGACAAGGACATAAGGCTGTTGAGTACTGGTAGCTTGGGCAGGGAAGTAATGAAAAGAATAACAACACATTTCAATGTACAATCAACATGTATTGATTATAGACTGATGTCCTATAGCTCTCCACCGATTTTTAATTGAGTCCTATCATTGTTTTATTCCCCTTTTTTACATCACTGTATAAATTCAGTTCTAAACAACTATTTATTTAGAGCAATTCTTTAATGAAACTGAACATCTTTGAACATCATTTACCAACATTTATATTTGTATATTTTAACAGCATTCTTTATTTTTCACTTTTAAGATGTTATAAATATAAATATCTAAAGTCATTTACAAATGTGCAAAACAGCTTCAAAAACTGGTGATTTAGATGTGAGTTTTTTTCAAGAAATGAAATTGCCAAAGAGGTTTCAACATGATCTGATCTGAAGTGTAGTAGCATATAGGGTAGACATCTATAAATATGCTTAATGTATTAAAATACCTAATGCCGAATGTACTGTCGTAACACTCACTTTCAAAGCAATCTAGGTATAATATTGCATGTTAATCAACTTTAATCAGATAATCAGTCATTAGGAATTTCTGTGAACCAAACTGAATGTGATATTCCAATCCTCTTTGATCTCAGTTCTTTATTTGCTCTCATTTAATAAATTTCTTTTCAACTTGTGATAAGATTAGTTGTTGTCGATGTTGTACCATGGACCATTCGTATCAGGAAATGTATGATTAGCATGTACCAACCAATGTCATATTAATATCATGTATCATTCTTACAATGATATTATGAACCACGTGAATACTATGTATGGTGTACCATCCATACTATTGAGCATTTATTCTATGATGAATATGGATTTGTACCTGCGCCATCAACAATTCATATCATTGGCCTTATATGATACCATGTATTGTGTACCAGCCATATCATGGATCATTCATATCATGTAATGGTCCATTTGAATATTTGTACCATTTGTACCATGAACCGTTCATTTTATGAATACCATCAACAACTGTCCATATTATTCATATAGTCCATATGAATGTCATGTTCAATCTTCACAATGAATCATTCTTATGGTCCTTAAGAATGGATCATATTATGGTTATCATGCACCATATACCATTTAGTGTCATCAACCATATCAATACAATGTACAGTGTACTGTATACCTATCTGTACCATTCATATTATTGACTATAATTATGAACAGCAAGCTCCATCTGTACCTTGAGCCATTCATGGCATTGATGAGTCACTCATTGGCCATTCATATAAAATGAGCCAAGTTTACAAAAGGTGACAATTTGTATCCATGTACTAATGGGTTTGTTTTGCACCATCTGTACCATGAACCACTTAGTACCATTTGTACCTTCGTTGGTATGGTACCGTCCATTACATAATGTACTATTCACCGTATATGGCCATGGACTACTTGGGCTGGACTGTTTGCCAATTATAGAGAGTAGTTGTTATAATGACATAAGTTTTGGCCCCTATACTAAATTGTGTCCGCGATGAAATAACCATCTTACCGGACAAACTGAAACTTAAAACTTGGAATTATAAACACTTATTTGCACAATTAAAATGTATTCTGTAAATTTAGCTTTCAATTAAAACTCTGTGAGATATGGAATTTGCTGTGTTGTGTGTGTCTTGACTTTTGCATATGATTCGTTATCATTCTGGTCGGTTATTTTGGAGCTAAATTATTCTCAGTGGCATAACCTCATAAGATCTCTCCTCCATCACGAATTTATAGAATTTAAAAAAAAAATAAACACGATGTTTTATATATTAAAGTGACAGTAGGTTAATCGTAATTTAAGTAACTATAGTATTCCTTCAAAGTACGTTATGAGTTTTGCAATCACGCTCGTTAACTCTTTTGATAGCGTTACTATCTTTACTTAAACCAGGATGCCACACCTATGTCGCATACTTTTCACTACTACTGTAATAGGTATTACTAAAAATACACTGAATATGAAATGCGATATAATACCAAATCTGGTAGTTCTAACCTGCGGGTTAAAGGTATGATTTTCTTGACCCAAAACATAAAACGATCCGTAAGATAATATTTGTAGTCCTTGGCAACACTTGATACAGGACACCCGGTCGGATGAAAGGAACAAACCAAACAATATTTAATACAGTATGCATTTTGACGAACGAAATTCGTTTCATTCAGCCGATTTTAAGTGTTGCTTGTGGAGTGATCATTTCATTTCCTCCAAGTTTTGTCAATAAATCAAGACGAACGCAATAAAATTGACAGTTGTTGGAGGTAAACGGTTAAATTAATCTCAAAATGGCTCGCTGTTCGATACATCAATTTCGTTTGACTTTTTTTAATGTAACTTTTTTTTTCCAGCTACATTTTGCGTGGTACAGGATCTAGTTTTTCAAGAAATCTCACGATTGTGAGCATGTTTGAAGACAGTGTTGGAAACTAAAGAAAATGTAGCCTATGGAGAAAGGAAAATTCGTTGAATACCAGAATACAGTGTTTTATCGAATGTAGACCGCCATATACAGTCTTAGGTAACTGGATCATGGGCCGTTTTAGTCAAAATACCTATATAAATTGCGTTTGGCTTCAAATGTTGGATTCATAATTTAGACCATATATATATATATATATATATATTACCTGTCTCTTATACACATCTAGATTTTAAAATATAAAGATCCTGAAATTTCGATCCAGTTTTCACAAACACGCTTCTGCTTTCTGTTAAAATTATCGTGCGTCCGAACATAAGGATTCCATTTTAAAACAGTGCGTTTACGACGTCAGTATGATTACTGATTGGGTTGGTTAGGCCTATTAGTACAGTACTTGCGTTGGTGACGTCATGCTATAGCTAACTCTGTCGGTTAGTGGGTTATTAGTGCGGTAGTGAAGTCGTGTGATTGCGAAGTGTTTGGAAGATTCTGAAGTTGAACCTCGGGCTGACCAAAAGTTGAAGAAGTGAAAGCATTGCCCGAATGATTCTTAATAAAGGCAATCTGTGAACCATTAAATTGATCGTAATGGCCTTATATTAACGCTTGAATATTTCCTGAAATGATGGTTCGGTTTATGTCGATTTTGTAGTTGTCGAGTTTAAAGATAATACTGCCAAGTAAATACAATAACTTAATAACAAACAATGAATTGCATACTTTGTATGTTATATAGTTCAACTAAAATCAGGACAAAAAAAATATTTCCTCGCCAATTAACGGATATTTTTTAATAAATCCTATTCTAGAATAATTTTTGCATAAATAGACCAAGTAGGCCTTGTACGGTATCTATTATTTTCAAGGAGTTTTATTAACGCCAAAAGGGTTATTAGGCATCTAAACATGTACAAAATAAGTCTTTTGGAGTAATAAATTACTCCTTGAAAAATAACTGTTCACCTAGGTCACACGTACATTTCTGCCAACATATTTTATTCATTATTCTTATTATTATTATTATTATTATTGAAACGGTTTTCTGTGGAAGGTGCTATATAAATATACGACCATTGACCATTGCAAAAAATCTGAAAATCGCAAACTATTTTTTAAATATATGACTTACTCTAAGTTGTGACTAATCCAACATGTATTGTTGGTAATTGTTTTTTTTTTTCGATGTACTTGGTGGTAGTTTATCTGTGAATCAAATATTTCTAAGTGTAAGATAATATGAAATAAATTTACATGAATAGTATCATAGTGTGAATGTTATAACCTGAATTTAATTTTAGTAACAGTTTAAATTCCAAGACTTCCCTCTACTTCTCCTGTGTAATGACACCACAAGTTTTTGGCAAGGGATTTTTTGAGAGCTGGGCACGGTGTTTCCGATAACACGCTACGAGTAACCGATCAGCCGGGAGGAAGGGGGTTTGTGGCGTATTAAACTGGACATATGGGTTTAATTTAAGTATGAAAGCCTACAATATTATTTCTTTAACGATCAGGTAGAACTGTTAGTCAAGTGCATTTCTCCTCCGTCCATCTGTTTCCAAGTTGCATGTTGTCGTGGTTTATTAGAAACAGGACACTTTGTAAGCAAACAACAAAATCAGGATAAAATATCCTAGTTCTATAAATTATCACTACCGTACATAAGCCTGTAGACTCAAGCTTAATGTTGTTCAAAGCGCGGTTCAAAGGGACATTTTTACAAAAATTAAGTGGACATGCGCTATTTCTTGCCTGATGGGCTGATAAATTGGAAACGATTGGCGTAACTTTTACTTCTATGACATTCATTGTAGGCCTACTGTACGTTAATGTTTGTTTATATTATGTGCCGTTTCTCTTGTGATTTTAATGTTTTATGCGTACAACTTTTCAGAAATTCGTGTTTATTTTGTGCCATTCAGATAAATTTCATTTTTTAAACAGATTCCCAGAAATGCAACCCGTCATACTTATCGTCTCATTTAGGCCTATCTGCAATAAAGAAATTATTTTCCTTGCTTAATCTTTCATATTAATAATCATCAAATAATAGTATTATTCTTATTTATATTACTGTAATAATTTCTAAGAATATTTGTTATGTCACGATTGACACTATCCCAATATTATACTGGCTACTACAAGACTTAACTCCAACAATAAGTATTGTAAATTCACATCTACATACGCTTTTTTTCGTATTAGTTTGTGTTCCTGTTATTTTCCAATATTCCCGTTCTCCTATTGAGCTAACAAAACAAGCTAATTGAATTAAAACTTCACTCGGACTGGTTTTAAGGGTTTGGTGTCCGTTGATAAGCTGAACAACTTTCGCCATTTATCAGAAGCACGTGTAGCAAAGCACATCGAATGAATGACAAGTTTAAATCAAATATATATAGTAGGACGACCATATTGATATTTGAATCACATCTTATTAAATTAAGTAGGCCAATGGTATGCAATATAGCTTGAATCGCCATAATATTTCTAGATGAAAGCGAACTTTTTCTGTGTTTTATGAAAATATATAAATTCAATTATTTGAGTATAGTATTCTCTTAAATTTACTAATTTGATAATGATGATTTTGGTAAGCCTGCGTCTGCTTGCTATTTAAACATGTCTTGTAATTTCTTCTTTATATGTTATTATTGACTACAATCTAATGCGTTGGCCAAATAAATGAAAGGATGAATGAATAAATGAATGAATGAACGAGCGAGCGAGCATGCATGAAAGAGTTAATAAATGAAAGAAAAAACGAACGATTGAATGAATGAATGATAGAATGAATTAATTAATTGATTCATTCATTCATTCATTCATTAGTGTTATATAAAAAGTTTAGCCAATACTTATTCACTACATTTTGATATCATTGTGTTGTAGTGTATTAAGTCGTCCAATAAATTAATAATCCAGGGGTTCCATAAACTAGTTAAATTGTATTCCAGAAAAAAAAAAAAAAATATCGTGCCTATTCTGAAGTACTTTACAATTTATACCGTATGGGCCAATAATACTGCACCTCTTCGATGCAACCATTCGAAGGAGATAACACGGAACATAACAGTGAAATTGGGAGATCAGCAAACAGTACATTGCCAGTGACATCACGTTAAACATTGACTTTGTCTTCACTGAGGTTTCAAGAGATAAGCAGAGAGAGGAGAGAGGGAGAGAGCAAGGTCGTAAGTGTCGTTGCAGACGTATGGTATTGACACGCACACGAAAAAGAAACTTCCAATGAACGTAGATCAATGAACTAAGCAGAGGGAGTAAGTTCAATGCCGGTAGGGAATCAAAAACTTGGCTTGACCTATTCACCCCTCTTCAAAACATTTACCGGCATTAACTGTAGGCATACAAAAATTGTCCCGAAAATGGGCATAGTTTCCAGCACAAATGCATTAAACAAATATTGTTAACTTTTTCAATACACTAAACTAAAATTTGGTTTCGTTGTATTTTAAAATACCAATGCAGGCATAATACGATACCATACGAACAATTATTAATCAATAATTTACCATAGTTTTAGTGTAGGTCTAATATTTTTCTTTTAATTTTTATATTTTATATTCAACTTTAGTATGTATAGTACAGTATACAATGTGTCGAGGCACCGAAAAAAAACCCGCAAACACTGAAACTAGCGAAATAATCTACTGTATAATAACAAGATGACAAAAAACCCAAATAATGTAAACAGAACTACCGTCACACCAACCCAACCGAAGGTCGGCAAGTGTTTAATATTTCTATTGTTATTTCCTAAAAGCGTGAATTTCTATAAATAGAGATGACTCGGGAATTTATAATATCGACTTCATAAATAAAACAATTATAGTAACTTTATGGGCATCGCAGATCGTCTGGTATGATAATGATATCTTTAACTTGCAATAAAGAGTGAACTAAGTTTTATCGGTAATTTGTAGGTGATTATAAAGATAAGATAATACTAGTACAGTAGAAATAATGAGATTTGATGTTGTGTTGAGATAACTTATATGATGATAATCAAATCGATCGGTTATACTCCATCAAGCCGACAAACGTGATACTCCTCCAATGGCACTTCAGAAAAATTTTGGCAAAAACATGGAATAAGCGCCTACATTTTCCCCGAGACTCAGAATCCGCTGCAAAGTACATAGTGAAATACTGAACAAGTCTTTAAATATTCCTACCACATTGAGGTATTAAACAGCACCATCCGATTTATGCAGCTTTCTTGGCATTTAATTTGATATCATAAAAACAAATCCAAAATATGCGATAAAGAAAAGTCAGTTGTGACGATTAAAGGTAAATTGTCACGGTGGAATAATTGTTGACCCCTCCCTAATCCCCCACCTGTATGAAGACCCCCAGTTTCAACAAACATCACGTTTAGTGAATTTCCTAGAACAATTCTAATGGATCATTTCATCAATGAAAAAAATGTGCTAAGAAGATAAAAATGATAGCCGTATGCCTTTGATTTTTAAAAGATCGTCTTTTGGAAAGTTAATGCCTTATCGTTACATCAGTAACCGTGCTCCTTTGGGTTGTGGTTTCCAAAGGTGTCACAAAGACGAATTAGGCTGTCATAAAAACATTGACACTACGATGTTTGTCTCAAAACTGTAAATGTCATGGCAGGGACTATGACAGCGAGTAGGTTTTTTAAAGTACAGTACAAACAAAAAACACCTCAACGTACTGAAAAAATATAGGTGTAATACAAGGCTAACGCAGTGATTTTCATATAAATTATGCTTTTGCAGTAAAGAAATACATTTCACGCAAAATTATTTAGGATTTGAACCAATCATTTAATAAATTTTCAAAAAGTGAACGGTATTTGTGCCTCTTAATTAGGCTACTTAACGTGGAATCTACATTACACGTTTCCAAGCCCTCTTATCTCAATTTTAATGTACAAGTTCAACAGATAATTATCTTACACGCATAAAATAGAAGTAGTTGAATTAATTTATTCTCACATATTTTTATCAACACACATTCGGCTGTGGACTCTAACCTCTAACTCCCTTCAGGATATTATAAAATAAAGAAGTCACATATATAAATATATATTCATGTTTCACATATACAACAAAAACATTTATATAAAGTTTAATATTTTACATTGCTTATACAAAATGGTTGACCTAAGCTTTGGTCAAGCATCACTAATATACAATAAATACGATTTATTTTTATATTAAAAACCACTGTATTTATGAGCAAAATCCGTAATCTATTCAAGATTTAATATCATAATTTACAGTCGGAGTGTACAATGTTAGGATATGTATAACATCGAGTAAATGCATAAAATAAGTATCACAAAGTTAACACTACTTTTCCTAGGCCTCTAGTATTCCAGCGTACTGTATTCTCTCATTTTAAGTTAGTAATAACGATCAATGATTGGTAAGTCAGTTTCCGGTTTTAAGTTTTCTCTGTACTTGGATTGTCGTTTCAATTGACAATTTTATTTGAAAGCATAACAACGGAAACTATCACCCGGTCACATGTCATGTAGATCAGTATAATTTGAACATCATTTACTTCGAAATTGTCTGTGATAAAATATAGAAAATATCTCTCAAATAGTTAATTAAAACTTAGAATTCACTTATTTTAAAATAATCAATTAAATTGTCAACTTCCATCAAAACTCATATCGAAATAATTAAATTTTCCTTGATTTAGGCCTTTGGACGATTTACTACGAAAATCCTTAAATTAACCGTCAGCCAATCTAAGGACCTCTAAAGAGAAAATGTGTTCCTTTTTTCGATTTTAATTTTAATTGAGAGCTAATATCTTATAGGTCTACATTTGATTACAGTACCTGTTGTCTTATGTGTAGATCTAGCTAGAAACCAGTAGGTTCACTGATAAGTTTTAGAGTAACTTAGTATAAAACATACTCCAAATAAAGTAAGACTCGTCATTGTGATTCAATATTTCGATCTTTAATTAGATCATTACCAGGAACGAATGCTAAATAGTCATTTATTTTAACTTCAGTTGAGCTTAAACCAGTTAAGTGATAAAAGTCACTGAGGACTGAACTTTGCATCCATCGTGTAGAACCATGGATTGGGCGCTATCGATCATACACTCTACTAAGTTTGTACTAACTTGGGTCCATAGATACAGTAAATTTTAGAAGTTTATCTTCAGGAATTTGCTGTACTTTGCAGTACAAAACTTAACATTTTATTTCGATATAGAGCCCCCAGTAATTCTTGTGTCGAAGGTGTACTAGTTATCAAGAGTTTGAGATATGGAGACACATATACTTAGAAACTATCCCAGAACATTAATATACTCCCCTTTATGTTGAATATATTGGGCCAACTGTAATTAGACCTAGAACAAAACCTTTGTCTTTAATTTATCTGATGTGAAAGTTTGCTCAGATCAGTTTAAGTTGCAGCGGGCTTATTGTACAGCAGGTATTGAATTGATTTCATCAGGCCACCGGAAATGACATTAATTCACGATTTAGGCCACACAGCAACTTAATTGATCTGACAGTGAGTGTTGTAAGATATTATGAAATCACAGTGTACATTACAAGCATATCAGTAGACCAGTAATAGAAGTTGATATAATTGCTATGCTCTGCGATGTATTGATATTAATTCCACCATGTTGTGCGATGTGGTGAAATTAACTCGAGTTGTACTGCCTAGATATAAAATATTTATATCACTTGTTTGTGCGATATGGTGAAACCAATTACTATTCTAGGACCATACAGAAGTGGATCATACAAAAGTGTTCTAGTTTCTCTATGGTGGGACTTAACTTAAAATAAATATTTTTTTCATTAGACTGCGAGTTAGGCACTCAGTTTAAGTTCTCTACCTGCACGACAACTTGGTCAGGGCAGATAAAACATTGAAATCAATATCTGCAAATTAACAGTACATTTGTGATATATTTGCTTAATATACTGTGTATTACAAGCAGTTGATAATTGTCACCAACAGCACACATTTTCTAAACCGCTTTTGCAACTCTTGTTGGCTTGTTTGCAATAAAGCCTCATGTGGATCACTGATGATTGTTTCATTGCCAGTGTAAAAGGTATTCCTCATTATGTATTTATTGTTTCGGTTCTCTTCAGATAAAATAAAGTTACTCTGAACCTTCCAGTTACTGTATTGATAAAAAGCCCCACATAAATCGTGGCCAAGTGGTCAATATACTGACAGGATGTGATGATATTTGTCTTGATAATGGTTTTTTTTTCAATATACGTTATAAAAAATATTCAGGTTTACTTACTTTAGCGAAATGTGAATGAAGTGTGTTGGAATGAAACCGTTTACCACTACAATAACAACACAGATAGCTAAATCGAGCCATGAAATTGCCCATGTGGATATGCACAAATGCGGTTCTTCTTAACTTGCACATCGCCACTACTTATTGAATGCCACGCGATAGCAGACGGTTACAAAAATATCAATGTTAAAAACTCCCTGATGCGTAATCAATAAAAATCACTAATAGATCACAAACGGCCCAAACTCCTAAGCTGCTCGTGCGTGAGAATAAGTATATTCATAGACACGAGAAATGTTTAGTTTCAATCCTTGGTCGGTTCCAATCGGTGATTAACATAAACCTCGCACCTGAGCACGTGTTAAAATGTAATTTCCAAATTTCTCTTCGTTTTTACTTTATATTCTGCTTAATTTTGTAAATTGTGAGATTACCTCAGATAGCTAAGCGAATTCCAGTATAGGCTTATGCCATTGATGTGTTGTTCAGTTGAGTTTTAACTGCAGACATGGTAGTTTTCGCCTCACTACCAGTAACTGAATTTACAATCATTTCCATACAATACCATTACAGCATCAATGAACGAGAGTAAACTAACTCAAAAACTTTGTTCACAAATATTCTGTGTAAAATTATCTATATTTTTTTGCTCTAAAGATGATTTTGATGATCTCAAAACGGAGGAACATATCGTTTACATGTATAAACTTCAGTTGTGTTATAGCAAATGTCACAATCAACCTTACAACACCATATAAATTTACAGCGGCATCTCGATTCAACTTCCTCTGTTTTGGTGTCATATCCTCTACCACAACACAAACTATCACAGTTTGAGTCTTTTTGGCATCGCCGCCCACCTGTACCAGGTGAATATACAGTCGGTTTACAGAAATCAGGCGACTGGTCCCTGTACACCATTTCTGTTGGAAGTGGTTTTCTAGAATTTAATTTCTCTTTGACTAGGAGTCCCGATCCATCGTCCGCACGAGCTCCGTTTTCCATTTTCACCTTTAGTGCACTGTTATACTTTTGTTGTAATAATCTTGAAATGTTTTGGAATGGAGCAAGTTGCTTCCAGCACGTCTTGGTAGAACACGTTGCTGATATTCCGTGGCATTTACACGTCTTTTTCATTCCTTTCTTCACCAGCTACGAATAAGAAATTTTGACGGAAGTTAGTGTTAGACATACAATTTCAACGAAATATTGTGTTAAAGTATTATCAACGATAAGTTGAATCATAGGGATACATTACACAAATAAACCCAATATAAAATTAGTTTTGTATTATTCCATGAAGTTCTATTGTTACAAGTAACTGGTACGCCTAGGGCCTATACCACCTGTGACCGCTGTATATCAAAAACAAAAATTATACCTTTGCTATCAATAAAAACGGATTCAATTTCTGTAGAAATTGTAATTATTATTCCTAATTATGGTGTTTGAGGTTCATTCAGCTAAAATAATAATAATACTGGTTATCAAAAGAAATAAGCGTTAATTGACACATTGAGTGTTAACAAGTTATGCCTAAGATGTTAATAAATAAGTATTTCATCTCGTAGTTAGGAGAGTATTGTGAGTAGAACTATTTCTTGGGCCTAGTTAACGCAACTAAACACACATTTGCAGTACTTGAAGAAAGTGCTTTGCTCTGCATGGATTATGGATATAAATGGACAGGTAGTATCGTACACCGAAATAGGTCACCGTGGATATTAGGTTGAGCCTCCTAATCATGCCCAGACAGAAATTTTATCAAATCTCAACACAGACTATAATCTGCATAACAAACGTGGGCAGTTCCTTAATATGAAATTATACGTAGTTATTTAGTACAAGTTGTGTTGATTGATTTTATTGTTTACTTGATCGTTTGTTGATTGATTGATTGATTTATTTAATTGTTTGATTAATCGCTTGTTGATTGACTGATATTAAATTTATATAACTTGATGAAAACTGTTATATTGTAAGTTTACGAGCGTTGAGAATAAAAACTACATTAGCAAATACATGTTGGTAATGCCATAAGGAAATTAATAATAATATTCACAACCGCAGACAGAAACGATACTTCAATGTGTAACTTTACTCCGACTGAACGACACCAAATAGCACCCACTAGGCCTGCATTTTTATTACCTGCTGTGGCACTTAAATTCGGCAATTAAAAAAATCATTTTTCAATCTCATGCTTTGCAAAAAATTCGTCAAACAGGTCATTTTTTTAATTAATTTATTTCATCATCATAATCATCATTATCATCATCCTGATCATCATCAGTATTGAAACTAATAGGAACATATTTATATAACCTTTAGAACTATTATTAATATACAGTATACCCATATCTTAATATGTATAGGCCTATAATACGAACATATTTATATAACCTTTAGAACTATTAATATATACCCATATCTTAATAGGGGCCTATGTATATATTACAGGTATGAAAGTTATTATGTAAGCTGATATTATTTATTTTAATAATATTGTATTGTCATTCCAGGCATCACAGTAATATATCTGTCTCTTATACACATCTTGTTATAGCAAATGTCACAATCAACCTTACAACACCATATAAATTTACAGCGGCATCTCGATTCAAATTTATGTATATATGCTTATACAGTGTCAGATTAAAGAAGTTATCGCTTTACGTGTAAAGTTTCTTAGACAAAATATGGCTCATTTATCTCTGTCAATAGAGTATTGATATAATTGCTTTTAATCGGGTTTGAATTTCCAACTAAATAGTTCCAACTCACAAGTGACCCAGTTTGTTAAAGCATCTACAACACAATTTCGAACACTCTATACACGCTATAAAAGAAGTGTTTAGTGTATATATATATATATACACACGTAGTTATGATGAAATAAAAGTGGGACGATCCAACAAAAGAAAAAAAATAAATAAAAGAAGTGTTGATGCATTGTACACTCGTAATCATGTTTTGCTCAGTCTATAAACAAGTGTGTCGATACTCTATAAAGTACTATTGTTTTATTAGCCTATATGAGTGCTTTGTGAGTGGAGTTGTTCTACGTCGTTAAATAAATCCTGGAATTTGTAAACAAACACTTGAAATCGCTGCTATAACTTGAATGCAAACACTATACGTTTATACTGCTACAGCTTTCAGAGCATATATAAATATCATATAATTAAATCATCTCCATTATGAGTTCATATTCACAAATACCTGCATTTTATGAGTAACATGGGGTTTCTTTCTCTCTGTGTAATCAGATCAATATAATGCTTCGATGCAAACAATAAATATTAAGGTTAGATTTTATGCCGGTATGTTCAATTTGGGTTGGTAACAGTAGGTCCAATAGTATATTTAATGTAATAACGTGGAGCAGTTTGCGTTGGCTAAAATTATATACGGTTTAGGTTTCGTTAGGAAACGGGTAATTAGTGTCAAGTAGAGTTGCTTATTTTGTGTACAGCATTATCAAATAATGCTATGTATGAACGTCCTATATGAAAACAAACAAGTCTCCAACCAAAATTCGTCTGCTTGAAAGTGGTAGATTCACGTACGAATGCACGTGATTATAATGGTTAGAGGGCGCGTCGAAATGAGGTTACGGGCTGCAACAGGAACGACCACATGACGGGTCACAACAACAGGTTTTTTTTAAATTCAGATTTATTATTTTCATGTGAAAATATTGAACTGTAACCATGTGTCATTATGCTTGCCAGAAGCCCTCGTTTGATGGTGGTTTAAGCGCGCGTGCTCAACAATTGGTCTTTTCTATTTGGTTAAAGTATACGGTAATCAGAATTGCAATTTTTAAGAGTGTCAATCAAACTTAACAATGACCAATCAAAACGTGGTATTCAATGGCCAAGAATACGCACATGTCCGACAAACACACAAGTTTACACTGTTCATGTCTCGCACCTTAGCAACAGTATCTAAGGGGTGGGGCTTAATGGAAAGATCTAGTAGTGAACCGTATTTTGTGAAAAATTACTCATGAATCCAGTTCCTCCTTGGTTATGATATTCCCACAGAGGCAGCTTAAACTAATTTACTCGTTGGTTTATTTTATGAATGATATTAATAGTGCAACAAAAAGTTCAATATAGTTTTTTTTATGATTTAACTTACAAAATCATTTTCTTGCTACAATTCTAGTTACCAGAAGTGCTCTAATACCAGTTAGACTATTATTATCAGTGTATAAAGGTAACTTTCCGTCAATTGAAAAACACAACTGTAAACAATTCTTATTTTAATGAAAAAAAATAACAGAATCATTGAACAATTCTTATTTAATGATAAAGAAATCAAGCAATCATTTTAAAAGATGTATATGTATATGTTATCTGAGATTAACCAGTGGACCTTTCGTGTTTTATATTTAGTTTTTATTTTGTTGATTTCACAACATGTTTACCCTAAACCATGAATGCGTCATTGACAAGAAATGTTATGGAACTTGGCGTATCATAAATCCAGCAATAGGTTGATGGTTTATAAGAGTTATTAGGCCTATAATATTGTTTGCCACTTGAAATAAGGAAATCGCTGGACCTGTTGGCTCAGGGTGAACGTAAATTTAATTCTACTTGATACAATATTGTAAATTTTTCTTGACGTTTTCCAAATTGTCGTTACACTATGTTTGAGAATAGCTTATGCAAATGGTGCACAGAAAGTTAGTCATTTATTACAATCGTAGTATATTTGCATATGTGTCCAACTATCATTTTACTCATAATTATTTAGGATTTTTTAAAAAGTAGTCTTTAGATATTTCATTTTCAAATATCAAACTATTTCTATAATATTAATTGAGGCTATCATTATCATCTTAATTATCACCACAACCGTCATCATTATCATCATCATATTCATTATCATCATATTCATTATCATCACAATCATCGTCATTGTTGTTGTCATCATTATCATCATCATCATAACATTTACTTTATAATTTTAAGTGTTAAAAAATATAGATATTTATTACGTTTTAACAATCTAACTTTCATACATTTTTGTACAACAGGGCTGAGTATACAACTGCAGTAAAATATAGAATAAAATTCTATCCATTGTATGAAAAAAGTAGACGATGTGAAACGTTTTCCGTAAGGAGGAACCAAGCCCCTTCATATTGGCCCGTGGGGCACGTGCTCTTCCTGCAAACGTAACCATGTCATTGTACTGCTGCCACCCAATGGTCATCCGAGCAACTTTCTAGGTCATGTCATGTATTTATGACATCCAGCAATATGACATCAATGTTTTTTACATAGAAATATTACTTCCTATTTTTCAATGACAAATTTTCCAGTTGAAATTTCATATAGGCGTTTACATTGATTATTATCGAGGTTTATTCACTAGACATTAAAATACACCACATATTTTTACAAATCAAGGAGAAGTGATATATAATAATTATTAATATTCAGCAGTACTGCAATATATGTAACGATTATATAACAAATGTGATATTTATTATCAATATTAATAATATTATCAAAATGAATGCTATTAATACCATCATTAACCATATTATTACCATTGTATTTTAATATCAATATTATTATATTTTAATAATTGTTTCTGTTATCATTATCATTGTCATTTCAAGATACACAGAACGAAACAATTCAATTTGACACACAATTATTGTTCTATGAAAATCAATTAAAAACTCATAATAAAACAAATAATAACGCGGGTCGTGTGCATTGTTTGTGGGTCTGATAATTGGCGAGGGAAACATTTTCTACTTAAAACTTTAAATTTATAGGTACGGCAGTACTGTAATAACGGACTTAAAGTCTTAGGCCTATATACTGTATACAAATTAGAGTCAGGCAAATCACCAATATTAATATATTTTTTAAGTATTTAGAGCCAAAGAATATTTTTTATCTGCAGTTTTTCCCCCCATTTTGACATGCTGTGACGAAGAATATCAACTATTCTATATGGCGAGGGTCTATCGTCCTAACTTAGTAATTATTGGACTTTCGTTTTGATTTTACATGACGTCACTTAATTATGAAGTACAAGACAGGCGGCCCTGGAATCTAAATACATGTCTTCTATATCAAAACAGAAATCATGTTCTTCGTTAGCAAATTTATCTCCTTAATTAATATTTCCTTCATCGGT